TCTATATAACACTCTGTTAGTCTCTTTACGACCTCAGAAGGTTCTCCAGTCTATGGGGGAAAGTCAGTGGTGTAACAGTGAACAATTTATTGGGGGAAGGAATGTGATCAATGTCATGTGCCAGTTCCAACCATTGACCAAATTTAGGTTCCACCCAATGGGTAAAAAAAAACTTCCAGACTTACATTTTCTTGATTTTCTTTATCCTAGCCTTGGTTTACTTTTATTTTCCTATTATTTTCCTTTTTATAGGTTTACAATATTCTTCTGGCTCCCATTCCTTTAGCTTGTATTAAATATTACATTGTTTGATTTTCATTCATAGAAACATAGAAACATAGAATGTGACGGCAGATAAGAACCATTTGGCCCATCTAGTCTGCCCAATTTTCTAAATACTTTAATTAGTCCCTGACATTAGCCTATCCCACGCATGCTTAAACTCCTTTACTGTGTTAAGAGATAATAGTGATTACATATTATTATTATTATTATGTAATTTTTTATATAGCCTCATCAAATTCCGCAGCGCTTTACTATGATCACTTTAGCCCCTTAAGGACCAAACTTCTGGAATAAAAGGGAATCATGACATATCACACATGTCATGTGTCCTTAAGGGTTACGGGAAGATAATAAAAACCTATTTCTCTTTTTTGTTTCCATTTAATGTTATATATCTTGAACATTCTACATATCGATATCCAACCTTTGCCAAGTTCCTGAAAGCATATTTTCCAGATTGGTTATTCAACATGGATCTTTTCAAGAAAAATAGGGGTTAAGTAATTAAGTTGGAAACAGGCACTTGTCACATTTTACAATCCCCATGCTCACCTGGCTCTAAGAAGGACAGTCACTAGAAGTTTTGGAAATAGAAAAAGATTTAATTATTGAATTTATTTTATATCTAGAGTCATCATGCAAATAATGCTGATTTTGGATGCTGGTCATATGGATAATTCTTTATGAGAAGCATTTGGCTGGCAAGCTTGCCGATCTCACAGTAGGTAGATCAGGCTGCACTAATGAATCTGTTTTGGTGTTGGATTACAGGTGAGTTTAATAGTATTAATTAGAGTGTTCCTTTTTGAATCATCAAAATGAAAACATATGAACCATTAAAATATTTTTTTCTCACAATGGTGGAAAATGTATTCTAGTATATTTTCTAAATGAAACTTTGGCAAACTTACAAACAGTCCTTGCTTATTCAACAGTAAAAGATGAAGTTTCATTATTGTCCATAAAAGTTTACAATCAATTTTTCTAGTCTTGAGTACACACATAGAATATGCTATATTTTACACAATAATCAATGTGGAAATCAGAAACAGTCATTTCACTATCAAACTTTATCAGCACAAGGGCTTCATGGCTCTAAAATGGTTAATTATTTTTAGGGGAACATGCACAGTGTTGTCCGTTCACCTCAGTTTTGACCCTAGTATCTCAGAAGGAGGGGTAGGTGACGTGCTGTCACTCCCTTTCTTGGCAAGGTTCCTAAGTCTTAGACTCAGAGCAGCTGCTTTGGACCTGGACGGCCTGCCTGCCATCTATAAAATTCTGTCTCAGGTTCCTAGGGATATGGCTGCCTCCGGTGGCTACTTGATCCTTCCTAGTGGCGTGGGGTTACCTTTGCAGCTGCTGTATTATCTCATGAGTCAGAGGAGGTGGCAGCTCTGAGTGAAGAGATGAAGATAGGGTGTAAGCACTGAAATCTTTGACATTTTCTAATGATTTTATTGTTCGTCATTCATATATTTGTTGTGAGTTCAATCATTTAAGAAAATAAAAGTAACTATTATGATAGGATCATATTGCAAATTTTGAGTCCAGGCTGCTGTCCAAATATTATATTATATACTAGGGACCAGACAGAGGCATAACTAGAAACCTCCAGGCTCTTGCAACATTTGCCCTGGGCCCCATGTGTCTCATTTTCCCCCCAGCTAATCTGTGTGTCTCATGCTTCCTAGTCCCTCCATGTATCTCATTATCCCCCAGACCCTCCATGTGTCTAATTATTCCCCAGCCCTTCCATGTGTCTCATTCTCCCCTCCAGCTCCTCCATGTGTTGAATCCCCCCAGCCCCCCCATGTGTCTCATTCTCCACCACGCCTCCATGTATCTCATTCTCCCCCCAGGTCCTCCATGTGTCTCATCCCCCCCAACTCCTCCATGTGTCTTATTTCCTCCCTTCAGCCCCTCCATGTGTCTTGTTAAACCCCCAGCTCCTCAATGTGTCTCATCCCCCACAAGCCATTCCATATGTCTCAACTGTGCTGTGCGCTTCCCTCTTGCCAGTCACCTGTCGCCCATGCGCCCCAGGCAGGTGTGGTCATGCGCTGGCCTTGAAGTTATGCCGGCCCACAGTCACCTGATTCAACAAAGTGGCCGGGGCCCCTGGAGTGTTGGGTTCTCTCTACATCAGCTCTGCCATTGGGCAGAGCGACACTATATTGTTTTCAATACAGCTTTGTATTCCTAACACTATAGTGCTCCTTTAAGAAGTTTATTATTTAAAGGAACACTATAGTCACCTAATTTACTTTAGCTAAATAAAGCAGTTTTAGTGTATAGATCATTCCCCTGCAATTTCGCTGCTCAATTCACTGTCATTTAGGAGTTAAATCACTTTGTTTCTGTTTATGCAGCCCTAGCCACACCTCCCCTGGCTATGATTGACAGAGCCTGCATGAAAAAAAAAACTAGTTTCACTTTCAAACAGATGTAATTTACCTTAAATAATTGTATCTCAATCTCTAAATCGAACTTTAATCACATACAGGAGGCTCTTGTAGGATCTAGCAAGCTATTAACATAGCAGGGGATAAGAAAATCTTAGTTAAACAAAACTTGCAATAAAGAACGTCTAAATAGGGTTCTCTTTACTGGAAGTGTTTATGGAAGGCTGTGCAAGTCACATGCAGGGAGGTGTGACTAGGGTTCATAAACAAAGGGATTTAACTCCTAAATGGCAGAGGATTGAGCAGTGAGGCTGCAGGGGCATGTTCTATACACCAAAACTGCTTCATTAAGCTAAAGTTGTTCAGGTGACTATAGTGTCCTTTTAATATTTGAGTTGGCCTAACTTAACCAGACACAGGATAACACTTGGATGAAAACCCAAGAATTACAGTGTCTTGCACAAGTATTCATCCCTCCCCATGCCCGGTTACACATTTTATAATGTTAAGACCTGAGATTTTTTGTATTTTATTTTAATTTCAGAAAAAAAATATTTTAATGACAAAATCAGAAAGAATATTACACATGTAAACAACCATGCTAATATTTGTTTGCTGCAAAGTTAGCAACTGAATTTAGCAACATAGACAATATATTATTGATGTTAGGGAAGATAATCTATCAACCTGTCAAAATGACCAGGTTCAGCTTAAAGGACCACTATAGTGCCAGGAAAACATACTCGTTTTCCTGGCACTATAGTGCCCTGAGGGTGCCCCCACCCTCAGGGACCCCCTCCCGCCCGGCTCTGGAAGGGGGAAAAACTTACCTTTTTCCAGCGCTGGGCGGAGAGCTCTCCTCCTCCGATCCTCCTTCTCTCCTCCTCCCCGCCGTTGAATGCGACGTTACGCAAGAGCTGCTACAAGATTTCAGCTCGTTTATAGGAAAGCATGCATAATGTTTATGGATATGCGTTCTCACTGTGAAAATTCAGTGAGAAGCATCTAGCGTTTTCTAGTGGCTGTCAATGAGACAGCCACTAGAGGATTAGGGGGAAGGCTTAACCCATTCATAATTATAGCAGTTTCTCTGAAACTGCTATAATTATGAAAAAATGGGTTAAGCCTAGAAGGACCTGGCACCCAGACCACTTCATTAAGCTGAAGTGGTCTGGGTGCCTAGAGTGGTCCTTTAAGTTCCCATAAACTGCCCTGATATTTCTACTTGCCATGAGACGTGGAATGCAGTTGGTGTTTCCTAAATAAACTTTATAACTAATAAAATGTACCATCTGCCATCTGACACAGGATGTGACCTAAGACCTAAGCACACTGTTTGGTTGACCCAAACTTTGTACTGATTTCCTGAGTTTTTGGAAACTTCAAAGTAGATACAGTAAAGTGTCCATAGTCAGAATGTAGAGGGTCATAGCAGAATTATATGTGTACATTGTATGCAAGTGCACAATTCATAGCTAAAACGTATGGCTTTTATTAATAAAGTCTAAAAGCACTGGGAAAAGGAATTATAATTCAAAAAGAATCTTTTGGTGTGTTTCATAGCATCGCTATGGTGGTGATTAAAAAATGGACTCATAATACATTATATTGCTGCTACAATTATATAAAGATTTCTTTATGGATGGTTAGAAAGTGATGCTATGGGTACCATAAACTCTTATTTTTCAAGACCATGCTAAATGCAAAACGAAAATACATTGAGCAAATCATCAGGAATACAATCTAATAAATAAACTACATATTGTGAGCAGCACAAAAATGAAATTCCAAAAGCTCTGACATATAAAGTCCATTTCTGGGTCTTCTGTGTTCCAAACCCAAAATGTTCATTATGGAATCGAAAGAGAAACATATTGAAAACGAGAGAAATCTCAATGTATCATTCCTGGTAAAATATTTTAGAAATAATAAATAATAATAATATATAAGTAAAAAAAGATATTAGCTGCACACAATTTTCATCTCTGCAC